CTCACTGACACACCCCTCCAGGTGTGGGGGGGGGGGCGCTGTGATTTGCAGGGACTTACGAAACATTTGTCCCACAGCTTCTGTCATTCAAGGGCTCTCGTGAGGCCGTGGCCAGGCTGTCATGGGGCCTGTGATCCTCTCCAAAGGTCCACCCGGGGACATCGCTTCTGAGCTGGCTCATGCCTGAGCCCCATCTTTGAGATAAAAAACGGAAGCTTAGCAAGGTTAAGTGTCTGACTCAAGAAAATACAGCCTAAATTGTCCGAGCCAGGTGCATGCGTCTCACTCCCGGCAAGGTGGGTGGGTGCGAGGGACAGTGTGTGCCTGTCCCGCTGGGGTGGCACTTGCAATCTCCAAGGGAGGGGCCCCTGCGGCCACTCCACGAACGTGGCTGCGTTGAGTCCTGGCGTGGCCCAGCGTGGCCAGCTCCTGCCCTCACACGTTCCTCAGGCCAGGAGGGGGCGTCCGCCCAGGGTCTCCCGCTGCTGTCTCCTGCGGGGGCCCCAAGCCACGTCTGCAGCTGAAAGCCCGTTCTCTCCTCCATCACTCAGCTGCCCGTCTCCAGCGGCCGAGAGCGAGCACACGGCCCTCACCGGGACGCCGTCAGCAATGACCCTGTCATGCCCACTTGTGACTGGTCCCGAGTCCGGCTGTGGGGTGGGCACCCCTGGCCCCACTCAGCAGCTGCGTGAGCTCAGGCTCCCTGTGTCCTCTCTGCTCTTCACTCTTAAGAGGGTGAGGCCAGAAGCCCCACCTCCAGGGCGGCTTTGTGACCAGGTGGGGTGACCCATGTGCGCGGTAACGAAAGTGAGGACAGGTAGGGGATGCACAGGCCCCCGTCAGCAGCAGCATCTTCATCCATCATTAAGTGAGTAACTCCGTTGTAGGGTTACGAGTTGGGGATGCAGGGATGGGAGAGAACCAGGCGAACCCCAGCCCGCCACTTCCCGGGCGAGCCATTGCTGTCACCAAGGGAGGGGTGATTATAACCACAGGGCCTCGGGCATCCCTGTGGGGGTGGCTCACAGGGGACCGGAGCCAGTGACCAATGTGGCCTATGTGCTGTCTTCTGGTTTTCCACTAGAGGGCAGTGGTGAGTAGGAGCCGTCCCTCTAAGTTTGGACGGACCTGGGGACCGGGGACCTACAGGGAGCTGGCCTGGATCTGGACGGGGAAATAGAGGCCCGGTTGTCGGGGGGAGTCGTTCTAAGCCATCAAGGAGAGAACCGCCCCTAGGCTCCCTGGGTGTCGGCGGGGGCCGGAATGTCAAGGCCCTGCTCCCCATCCTCAGGCTCACAGACTTGCTCATGTTCACAAAACTGCATCCGAAAGATGGTCTTCGTTATCAGGCTGATCGCGCTTCCCGAGTACAGAAATAATCACCTTCGGGTTACGTTCTGGATGTCGTTTTCTCCGGCCTGATTTTACTCCTTCTTCTAAAGATCATTTTCGAAGCAAAAAGGGCTCCAGTCGTGTGGAAAGCCCGGTCCCGCCCTGGAGGAATCGTTGAAAGTGTCCTCACCTGCTCAGCGGCCGGCCAGCCAGGGCCCAGCACCACCCCCTCCTCCTGCTGAGAGTCCCCGGCCACTGTGCAGGGGTGTGGTGAGGACAGCCCTGCGGCCCCGCCAGAAGAACCACGCTCCAGCCACGGCCTTGAGGCATCCGGGGCCCCCTTTCCTGTGTGCAGGTGGCTGTCCCCGTGTCCCCTGTTCCCAGCCTCTTTCTGTCTCACTCTGGCCGCCGGGAGCACAGCGCTGTGTTCCCAGAAGAAAACAGAGCCTTGGGCCCTTCTCCACACGCGTGCTCATGCTCTGGGACCTTCTGGCTCCTGTGGACCCACCTCCCTCCGAGGTGGCCGCACGCCCGTCTAGTCGTGTCCCTTCAGGTGAAAGGAAGGGGCGCTTGGCCTTATTGTGTTCAAGCAAGATTTCTAACCCGGCCTCTAAAGGACTCAGACAATAGATTCAGGACGTTGGTGATGTGTCTTTAAGTGGGTTCTGGGCCCCGTGGTGCCTGTGTCCGAGGAGAGGCGGCGAGGCTGTACCTCCTCGCATTGAAGAGGCCCTGGCGCTTCCTACACATGCTCTCAGTGCATCAACTAGGTTAGAGGCAGCGCCGTGGCACCGCCGTGGCACCGCCAGAACTCTCTCAAAGAGCAAGCACAGGCGTTGGGTCATCTCACACGGGCTCAGAGGCGGCCCGGGCCCCCCAGCCAGGACCACGCGCTCGCGGATGCGGAGGAGCGTGACCCCCGTGGTCTGGCGGGTGGGGAAGCTGCTGGCCGCAGGGCTCCCAGCACAGACACTTCCAGCTGGCAGACAGGGAAACTGAGGCCCAGAGATGGGTGTGTATTGTCTGTGATGGAGCCGGGATTAAAAACACAGGGGCGCCTGGGGGGCTCAGTCAGCTAAGCATCCGGCTCTTGATCTCGGTTCAGGGCATCATCTCACGGTTCGTGAGTTCGAGCCCTGCGTTGGGCTCTGTGCTGACAGGGCAGAGCCTGCTTGGGATCCTGTCCCTTTCCCTCTCTCTCTCTCTCAAAATAAAAATAAACATTAAAAAAAAAAGGACAGGGGCGCTGATCCAGCGTGGTCCTATGAGAGAGCTGCTAGGTGGGGGGGGGGGGGAGCAGATCTTCTAGACCCCAAGACTGCAGTGGGGGGAGGTCCCACAGTAGGACCCCTGCTTGGAGACTTTCAGGGTCAGGCTGCGTCCACGTTGCTGTGTGGTCTGGGGCCTTTACTGTCACCTGGCAGCAGGACCAGGCTGACCCGCCTCGGGGAGTAGGGGAGTCAGCGCCTTTGAAACCAAAGGGTGCAGAGGAAGGTGAGTGGGGTGCTGGCCCCTGCAGGCCCTCACCCTAACCACCTCTAGGCCCCGGGCTAAAATGCCCCCCTGGCCACCGCCCCAGAGCTTGGAGGGTCCCCAGGAGTCCCTGGACGCCAGGCAGGCTCGGGGCCTGGCCGCTGGGTCCCCGCTAGGCCTGGGAAAGCGGGGTCATAGCTCAGTCCCTTCAGGACGCCAGCTAGTGAGCCGGCAGAGTCGCCCGTGTGGCCGTGAGCACTGGGGAGTCCCTGCCCCCAAGCGGGCCAGCCAGGTCGCCGTCCCGCGCAGCCAGGCTCCAGGGTTTTCTGGAACACAGCCCGGTGTAATAAGCCCCTCCCTCTCTCCCTGCAATGTTGGGAGGAACTCCGAGGTCTACACACCACCGGTGCTGAGGGCAGCTGGCCTGGGTGACGCTCCCGGGGATCGCAGCTCCGAAGTCCCTGGGGGAGCCCCGCCTGGCGCAGCGGGACGCTCGGACGGGCCAGTGAGGCTCTGCGGAAAGGCAGCCCCCGGTCCCTAGGCTGAGGGAGGGCGCCAGGGCCCGGGCAGCGCTGTGGGCCGGCAGCTGGCAGGGCCGTGCGGATCCTACCCCGACTCAGCCAGCGGAGGGCACGACAGACACTTTGTTCACTCGTGCCCACGGCCACACGGGTGACAGGGAGGGGCGCTCAGGCCCCACAGCCCAGTGTGTCCTGACTCCTGACTGAGACGGCCGTTCCCCGTGACAGCGCGACTCTCCTCCCGGGGCCCAGAGTCGCCTGGGTGCCTGGTGAAAATCCACAGCTGGGGTGTCCGCCCCCCACACCGGCCCCAACACCTGCCCTCCCGCAACCACGCCCCCCCAGACACCGCCCCGGACACCTGACCCCCACCACACCTGACTGACACACACCTCCCCACACCCCCGCCCCCACCCCCTGACACCCAACCCCCCCAGACACCGCCCCCGGACACCCGACCCCCACCAAGCCCAACTGACACGTGCCCACCCACCCGCCCTCACCCCCGCTCCCACCCCCTGACACGAGCACCCCCACACCCACGCCTCCCCATACTTGCCCTGGGACACCTGCCCCCGACCCCGTGTGACTGACACCCGCCCTCCCCCATCCCCCCACCCCTCGCCCCCTGACACCCGACCCCCCCACACCCATACCCCCCCAACCTGCCCCCGACCCCACATGACTGACGCCCGCCCCCCCACGCCCCCCGTGCACCCCCGCCCCCTTGACACTCACCTTCAGACACCTGCCTCTAGCCCCTGACACTCGACTCCCCCACACCCACGCACCCTCCACACGACCTAACACCCGACACCGACCCCTGCCCCCACCCTCAGACACTCACCCCCCCACCTGCCCCCCGCTCGCTCCCCACACCCATCCCCGACCCCAACCCCAACACTCAACCCCCCCATAAACCTGCCCCCCCACCCCCTCCCCACACGCGACCACGAGACCTGCCAACCCCTTTGTCCTCAGGAGCACCGGTTTGTGCTGCCCTTGGCAGTCAGGGGTCTGCGGGGGGGCCGGGCGGGGGGGGGGCACTGTGTCCACCTGTCGGATTAATCTGAAGGTAGGCGTGCCCTTTGGGAACGGGGTGTCAAAGGTCGCTAGGAACTTGTTGAAAATCCAGATTTCTGGGCCTGACCTGGGAGATCTCTACACGGTGGGTTTGCAGTCTAGACTCCAACTTCAAGGACACATCAGGTGACTCATCTGAGCAAATACGGGCCTCTCTGGACACCACACGAGACCCTGCCCATCCGCACTGACCCAGTGCTGGCCTCACGCTGGGCTCGGCACACAGTAGGTGTTCAATAAGGGTTTGCTGGGTGCCCCAGCCGGCTGCCCCCAGGCCCAGCTACAGAAAGCAGGCCCCCCTCCAGGGGTGATCTCCCTTCAGCCCAGCTAAGCGGTGGGCGGCCCGGACCCCAGCAGCTGTGCAGGGGCCCAGCTCCCCCCCCTCCCAGGAGAGCCGGGAGCCTGCCCTTCCCCGCAGGCGGCTCCTCCCCTCCCCCCGGCTGGGGAATGCTGACCGGGGACTTCCAGGCAGGTAAGGAGGAGGAAGGTCAGCGGGGAGGAGACTCGGGCCCTTCCAGGAGGGGCGGGGCCGGAGTCGTGGGCGTGACCGATGACCTGGGCGACTCCCCAGGCCACCTGATTGGAGCCTGGGGGCCCAAAGCTGCGCCCTCCAGCCCGGCTCAGGCTCCAGTGCTGGACCCACCGGACCTGAGGGGCCCAGGACCCGGCAGCAACTGCTGGCCGCCGCGGCAGGTGAGGGACCCGGGGAGCCTCCCCCCTCCCTTCTCTGGCAGCGTGAGTTCAGGGCCTGGGTTGCATCTGCCCCGGGAGGGGCCGCCACGTTGGGGCGGCGCCGCTCACCTGTCTGGACAGGTGGGGCCAAGGGAGGGTGTGCGTGGAGCGTGCGTGGGGTGTGTGCTCCACATCCCGCCTGTCGAGCAGCAGGGGGGGTGCCGCTTCGGGCCGGGATTCCGGGGGCCGAGGAAGGGCCAGCCCAGCGTTCCCACGCCGAGAACGGAGCCGAGAGCCGAGAGCCCGGCCACCATGAGGCGGGGATGTGCCTGCCCACAGGCCGGGCCCCAGGGCTTCTGATCCTGGGTGAGCACGTGGGAGCCAGTGACCCTGCCCCTCTGTACCTCAGTTTCCCTGTCTGTAGGGTGAGAGTCGCAGGGGCCCCGCACAGGCCCACCTCGGTCAGCGGCCGCTCTCGGCGCTGATGACCGCGGAGAGGAGCCGGATCCGTGGGCTGGTGGCGGGGCCCTGGTGCTGCCCTACCCGCCGTGGACTTCAGCCCCCTGCTCTCTGCTCCCCTCTTCCCCCAACCCCATCCCAGCCCCCAGGGGCCAAAGTTCCTATCGCCCCACCGCAGGGATGACCTCTCCTCCAGGGGTGGGCCTCAGAGAGGCTTGGAGCAGGGAAGGGCAGTGGGGAGAGGGATGGGGCCAGATGTGGAAGAGACAAAGAGGGGCTCTGCCCCCATGGTCCTGCGAGCCCGCTGCGGGCTTGGCACCGGCTGACCGGGTGAGGGGCCCCTCCGTGGCCTCGGCCAGGCGCAGATCCTCTCTGAGCCTCAGTTTCTGCACAGGCACAGGACCCTGGTGACCATCCCCCTCCTCAGTGGCTGCGGGGCTCTCGGGGCGAGGAAGTTCCTCCTGGATTCACCAAGAGCCCGTGGCTCCGGGTGCCCCCGCGTGGCTGAGACCCCTGGAGGGCAGCGGCTGGGCTAGGGTGGGCTGCCCAAGGCCTGCCTCGGGGGCCCCGGGGCTTGGGCTCTGCCCCAGGCGACCTGGAGGCCAGCTGAGGGAGGCGCAGGTGCGGCCAGAGAGACTCGTGGGCCGGCCCGAGGCCGCAGCAAGTGGACCTTGGACTTCACCCCGGGGAAGTCGGCTGCAGGCCGGCTGTGCCCTCAGTGTCTGTGGGTCTTAATGGCTCTCTGTCCACACACATCCACCTTGCTGGGACACTTGCATGTTTTAGAACAGTGTTAGATCAACGAAACAATTACCAAGGTAGCACAGAGTTCTCATACCCTCCCACCCAGTCCCCTTGATCGTTGGCATCTCACATCAGTAGGGTGCGTTTGCCTCAGCTGACCCACAAGTATGGATCTGTTATTCTTTTTATTTTAATAAAAATTTTATTTATTTATTTATTTTGAGAGAGAGAGAGAGAGAGAGAGCAAGCAGGGGAGGGGCAGAGAGAGAGAGAGAGACTGTCAGCACAGAGCCCGTCACGGGGCTCGAACCCACAAACTGAGAGATCGTGACCTGAGCCAAAGTCAGACGCTTCACCGACTGAGCCTGCCAGGCGCCCCTGAATTAGTAATTCTTAACTAAACTCTATCCTTGGTTCAGTCTTCACAAAGTCCCCTGATGTCCCCTCCCGGCCCCAGGAGCCCGGCCAGGACACCGCGTGACGTTTGTCCGCCCGTCCCCCCAGGCTCCTCTGGGCTGTGACAGGCCCCCAGACTTGCCACGTTGCGAGGATTCCTTTGAGGGGCGCTGGTCGGGTGCTCTGAGCGAGGTCCCTCAGTCGGGACTTGCCTGAGCATTTCTCGTGATTGGACAGGGATCGCGGGTCCCCGGGAGGAAGACCACGGCGGTGCAGTGCCCTCCCCCCGTCACGTCAAGGGCACCTGCCGTCACTGTGATGACGACCTTGACCCCCTGGCCGAGGTCGGGTTTGCCGGGCTTCCCCGCCGCACGGCCCCCTCCCTGCCCTCCCGCACTGTGTGCTCAGCGCAGCCTGAGGCCTGGGGAGGGGGCTCCCCTCCTCCAAGGTGATGTCCCAGGTAAATCACTGCACGGGAGAGATCTGTCCCTTCTCCCTCAGTTTATTTATTTGCTCATGTATTTATACGTGGTAGACTCATGGATACCTTATACTTTTGGTTATTGGTTATTAATTAGTTATAATCTAATATTAATTAATTTTGTTGCTCAAAGTTTTCTAGCTTTGGCCATTGGGAGCTCTTTCAGCGGGCTCCCTATGTCCCTTTGACTCACCCCATGGTTGTGGGATTTCATTCATTCACTTCCTTACTCCGGGCTCACAAGCCAGGCCCCACCTTGTCCATCTGCTGGCTTCGTCCTCCAATCGGCCATTCCTCCCAGGCCCTGATCCCTTTAGTTGGAGAATGGTCTTAGGGACCAAGATCTGTCTGCACTGAGTGTGCTTGCTGCTCCCCAGGTCTTCTTCACACATATCTCTAAGTATGAGTGTGTATCCGTGATCTACAAGTTAGTACATGCACGTCAAATCCGGTGCGTGCACAGACCTGTGCGTTGGTACCTGCGTGCGCCTAACCCGGTGCGTACACGGATGTAAGTACTTCCGTACGTACAATGTGTCTATGTTAACTGAGACCCGAGGCCCCCACCTCTGCTGCCTGGCCATATGGATTCCAGCGGCCCCTCTCCTTGACTCTCTGTACCTCCTACTCCAGCAGTGAGAACCCTGGCGTTTCCCGTCTACAGCCGGCTTGCTTCATCGTTCCAACCCCAGCGGCTCAGCACCTGTACAGAAGTATGAGCATTGGTAGCCTGGCCCGTGCCGAATGGCCACATTTGCCGGCGCCCAGTGAGAACGTGTGGCTCCTTCCGTCTGGCCCCCCAGTGCCACCTTCAGGGAGGGTGGCTCACGTGTCTGTAACACAGCCACCCGCTCTGCACGCTGCACCCATCCTGGCGCCCCCGCCTCCTACACCGTCCTTATCCGCACACACGAAGGCGCACCGTGCGCTGCACAAGGTGTCACGTATCTGCCATCACAGCACCCCGGGGCGGGGCTCACCACCCTACAGAACGCCCCTGCTTCACCCCCCCAACCCCCCGCTCCTTTCTTACCCTCACGATTTCTCTTGGCAAATGCCAGCAAATGCGGATGCATTCTGACCCCCTTTGGAGCACAACGCGCATCTCAGTTTCCCCTGTTCACTGGGTCTTGGGGATCTTTCATCCTCTGCCATGGGGAGCTTCCTGTTCTGTGCTCAGCCCTATGCCGCCAAATACTGAGTGCTGGGTACTGGGTGCTGGGCGCTGGGTGCAGGGTGCTGGGCACTGGGTGCTGGGTACTGGGTGCTGGATGCAGGGTACTGGGCGCTGGGTGCAGGGTGCTGGGTACTGGGCGCTGGGTGCAGGGCGCTGGGTGCTGGGCGCTGGGTGCAAGGTGCTGGGTGCAGGGTGCAGGGTGCTGGGTACTGGGTGCTGGGTGCTGGGTGCTGGGTGCTGGCTGGAGCGCCCTTACTTCCACACCTGGGTTATTTCCCGGGTGCAGCTGTCATTAGATGTCCCCATCTCCGAGCTGGGCGGCCGTGCGCACAGGGGATTCCAGAGGCCGGGCTGCTGCTCAGGCCTGTGGCTTATTTGGGGGCTCGCCCGCCCTCACACTGGCCCCGGGCGCCGGCCCTCCGTGGCCGTCTCGGTGTGCCAGCAGAGGGCCGGTCTCGCTGAAGCAGGAGGCGACCGAGTCCCTGGGGTCATCGGGCGCTTCTGGCTGGGGAGGCCGAGCGTCGTCTTCTCCCGGCGCCCAGCCCAGCAGGCGGGTGGGGCCCGCGTGCTCCCGGCCGCCCGCTCCTCCGCAGGCGCCTGCTCTTTCCTCCGCGTCGGACAGGGCGCAGGTCGAGAGGCCCGGCTTCTCACGTGCGGTTCAGCCAGAGACAGCCGCGGGTCGGGGGCCCAGGCCCGGCCCAGCTCTGGGCAAAAAATCAGCAGCAAGCTTTGCTTGTTGAACGTAAGAAGGGGCGCCTGGGGGCTCAGTCGGTGAAGCGTCCGACTTCGGCTCAGGTCACGATCTCGCGGTTCGTGGGTTCGAGCCCCGCGTCGGGCTCTGTGCTGACAGCTCAGAGCCTGGAGCCTGTTTCAGAGTCTGTGTCTCCCTCTCTCTCTGACCCTCCCCTGCTCGTGCTCTGTCTCTCAAAAATAAATTAAAAAACAAACATTAAAAAAATGAGGAAAACGCCAGACCGATCCTGACCGAAGGGCATTCCCCAAACATGGTTGTGACCAGTCGTCTCAAGTGAGGTCGTGAAAAGCAATGACATTCAAATATCGTTGGTGCCCTCAGTGGCTCTGGGGACAGAAAGGACATCAGGGAGAAAACAGAGGCCACTGAACCAAGTGCAGACTTTGGTGAATAATGACGAATCAGTGTCGGGTCACTGAGTGTGACAAATGTGCCACAGGCATGGGATGTGTTAACCGCAGGGGACTCTGGGTGTGAGGGTGTGGGAGCTGCGTGCTTTCGGAGAAATTTTTCTCTAAAACGGAACTATTTTAGATAAAATTGGATAAGACAAAAAGAGGCTGTGTCTGCAGGTGCATGGAGCTCAGACCCTAGCGTGGACCCATTTCACTGGGCTCTCTCCCGTGATCGTGGGGCACCCACCCCCTGTCCCAGACCCTGTCCTGCCCATGGATAGGGTGCCTGAGGCTGAGAGGTAAATGACTCACCCAAGGCGCCCACTAGCCTGGGATTTGGGTCGCTGAGCCCCCGCCGGGCACCGGGCGCCATGCTGGAGGGCAGAGCGCCTGTCCACACTGTGCTGGCCCCGGGAGACTTGCAGGGGTGCAGGGAGGGGTGAGCCGTGGGAGGATCAGCCATGCCCAGGTGGACAGGGCAAAAGAAAACACTCCTTCCCCGCCTCCCAACCCCTCCCACAAGTGAGAGCAATCCCAGTAGGCTCCCGGAGGAGGTGATGGCCGAGCAGTGTTTGGAAGGAGGCAGGAGAGGTGGCCAGGGAGGAAGGGCTTCAC